TGTTCTGCCTTTCAGCCACAGTTTCTCTGCTAGTGAAGCTTGCTATTTTAAGGCCACAAATATTACTTCCCGGTTAGTCTATGTCGGTGGTAGCCAAGAGCCAACTATGCATTAAATAATCTCTGAGCAGCTTCAATTCAGTTATTCAACTTAGCATTACTTTTAATTTTGCATTTTATATTTTGAGTTTCCTATTTTCGCTAAAAGTGTTGGCAAAGCCCTACAAGCACCAGGAGTGCCATCAATTTATTTTTGAAGTATCGATAAAAAGCTGATCAACAGGCTATCAATTGGTAAAGTGTTAAAACATCACTAAAAACTGTTCTAGTAGCCACTAAGCAGGGGGAAAAATTATCCCCCAGTTATAATATTGCTTTTGATGAGGTTGTCAAACTTCATAAAATCTCAGACACTAAATAATCACTTATTCAAAACACTGTGAGAACATGGGAAGTTTACATACATCTCTCCTTTTACATAATGAAGTCAGATGGTTATCTCGAGAAAAGATACTACCCTGTATTTTTTAAGCTAAGAGATAAGCTGAAAACAATTTTGGTGAAAAAAATTGCTGTTTAAGCGGCATTTTACAAAAATCAATGAACTTAATTTAGCCTTTCAGGGCAAATAAATAAATGTACTTATCGCTGAAAAAAATTCTTGCTTTTAAAAAAACATACAAATTTGGAGAATCTGTATGCACTCCAATGATTTTGATTGCTTCCTATAATAACAGGCTTTCCAGAAGATGATTGCCTTTTGGTTTATTTAATTACAGCAAAGCACTCCAGCACTATCTGCCTAAAGGAAGGAATGCCTTTGTCAAACACTATATATGGAAAACCGGCTCGTATACATGTTACGCATGGCGAAAATCACAAAAACACCGATGCCGCAAGCTTGTTCAACGGGATTTGAACAGCTGACCAGATGACCCGTTCTCAGTTACTTTACCACTTGGCTCCTACCAGGCCTTTAGAAGAGGAAGGGGTTCAAATAGGAGAGACATTTATATTGAAGAAATTATTCAGAACCTGAAAGGTTTGAGTGAAGTTCTTAATTTTTCAAATGACACAGCAGATTAAGTACTAAAATGAATTAAAACCTCATTTATTGTCAATTTACGAGCTTCAACCATGTCAGCAGAATATGAAACTTTTATAGAAATGACATCTGATTCATTGTTGCAAGACAAATTTAAATTAATACCAATAATGGAATTCAGGTGCAGTTTAAAAGATGAATATCTTCAATTGTCACAAAAGTCTGTGTTGGCACTTTTACCATTTGCAACTGCATGTATGTATGGAATGGGGTTCTCAGCTTATGTGTGACAAAAAATAAATACTAAACTGAAATATCTTTATGCCAAAACTGATATGAGAAATCAACTTTCATCCATGAAGTCTAATGTTAAGTATATGTGCAATAGTAAAAAGCAGTAACATTCCTCTGATTAAAATATTAATTTTAAAGTCGTGTTTGAATAAGTTATTTAAAGAACTTTTGTACTAATTTTGAAATTACTTTTTGAAGGAAATATTATTTTAGATAACTGCCATTTTTCTTGCAAATGATCCATTTGCAAAATGCTGGATTAAAACCATACTATTGAAGCAAATCAGAAGTTCCACAATACAGGTGGACATTAAAAAGATTTAAAATGCTGCTCCAGATAATCATGTGCATGCATCTGGCCTAGGCTGCTGTTGAGATACTGGGCTACCCAGCTGGTACAATGGTTGATGAAGCCAACCGCTGCACCAAGGGGCCCGGGTTTGAAGCCCGGAGAACTCATGGATGTTTGTAAGAATATACTGCCTGTGAGGCAAAAGTACTCTGAAGAAGCTGGAGGTAGGAAAAGAGGGACAGTTCTTTCTCAAAACTGGGATGTAAGCTTAAAAGTTATTAAGGCCTGATGATACCTGATGCATTGATATGGGAATACTCAGGTGCTAGCCTTGTTTCAATTTGTACCTGTTCAGACATTCACCAAACAATTCTAGGCACACACATTATGTTTTGCACAGGTTATATGTATCATTTTGAATAGTATATTAATTTTATTATGATTAATGGTGCACACTTGGCATCTCTGGGACTTCTAATATATTTAAAATTTTATATTTGAAGCCTATCAGGAAGAGTCTTTATACTAAATATTTCCCTATGCATCTCTCATTCTTTTACTTAAACTAATTCCCTATTTCTAATTTGCAACAGTTTTTATAACATTACCTGTTGACATCTTAAATTTATGCACCCTCTAAGATATATGAAAAATTGATGGCATTGGCAATATTTAGACTATCAAAGCTAGCTTGCATACTCTCCAGATTATTGTTTTTACAGCTACCATTAAACAAATATTTTGGGGAAAATTTATTAAACTTATATTCATAACTGTGATTAATTCTCTGCTGTTTATATTGTTACAAATTTTGTACATATGTAAATAATTTCAGTGAAATTACATGTGAAATTGTAATATTTTTTGTGCAATGTAGAACAAAACGCTTGAAAGAAACAAAGTTCAGCTGGAAAAATAAGAATACGGGGTCAAGTATAACATTGAGGTAAAAGGCAATCTCTAAACTGGCAAAATATTGTCACACTGGTGATGGTTTTGGTGACTAATTTTTGTTGTCAAATTTAGTGAGAAATTGCCCAGAGCTATCAAACTTGGCAACCATTTGATACAGTCCATGTATTATTGTAACTGGTATTACAGTTGAGTAACTAATTAATACATATATATAACAGTATGCGGCCCTTGTGTCTACCTATAAATGCCTTCCAATAATTTCAAGAAATGGTGCTAAAGATTTCTTGGTGGCTGCAGGAGAACTATTTGACCAGAGAAAGCATCAGTTCTCAGTTCAGAGTCAACTTTGGAATATTGAGATTATCTCATGTGATTTCCTTAGATGCGCTTTGCACTGCACTATGTTTAACATTCTTAGTAATTTGAAGTGTAACTACTGATTGTGCTCTGTGATACTGAGGAGAGGTGTACAAGTATTGTGGAAATTTCAAGAACTTTTAAGTGTTTCTTTAGGTAAAACAAATTTTATCAAGCTATCATCAGTTCTGTCTGCATTCAATCCATTATGAACACTGAATACATGCAGCAATATCAAGCAAGACTGCATAACTGGTATTTTGGCACTTTTCAGTTAAAAGGTCTTCATTTGAAAAGTGTGCAAATGTATCAATGAATGCATTATGATAGATTTAGATTTGGCTATTGTCAAATGATGATGAGTCTTCCATTAAATTCTTTAACAAAACAAAACAAAACAAAACAAAAAAAAGGGGGGGGGCAATTATCCATAGAGAAAGACTCTTAATAGCTTTAAGATGAAGTTTCATTTCAGTGCTAATGCAGCACCGAAATGTTGCAGCCACTATCATTCTAAAAGAAAGGATGGCAAATAATTCAAAACTGATGCACTGGAATTACTCTCTAATATTTTTTAATAGCATTGTGTGTGTGCATCATCTGGGTTACTACTACATTTCACAGTGATGTTTATACTTGGGAATGATTTCTGCCTCATTAATTAGAACTTGAAGTACCGAAATTATATGCTAGAATAAAACAATATTTTATTTTTAAATCAGACTACCCACTTCCAAATAAATGCATAATTTTTCTGTGTAGCAAAAAATGAATTTCAAAACTGCCACAATGACCTGAGATTTCGCGAGAATAAAAGACATTACAGATTTATATATATATATATATATATATACACACAAACAGTGCAGACAAATCTGAAAATAGAAAGGTAATTTTTATACACTTTTTATGGCTATTTTATCACGAACAATTATGTTCAATATAAATTTTTATGTAAAAAAAGTGGAAAAGGAGTTAATTACTTTTATGTGCTATTTTTAATATGTTATTATTTCTGAATTCTTTTTTCAGTTTGAATCAAACTTCTTATTTATGACCTGAGATCCGCAAAACTTTTAAATTGTGTAATACCAGGCACACAGCTATGCAGATTTTTGGCCTTCAACCATAATAATAAAGTACTGAAAAGCTTCAAAAAGTGATAATGATGCTTTATTTTTTGTTTTTTTTGTTTGTTAAAATGCAACTATTAGCTAATGCAGTTTACAGAATTGAAAATGCAACTTACCACATTTTGGAAATAAAATTTCTTGCATATATAACCAAAATGCATGATTCAGTAAAAATGATATACTGCATTTTGATAAAATTCTTTTAAAAAAGATATATTAAAGTTAACATTATGGCCCACACTTCCACATAATTGTATACACATACAAAGCAATTCTATGCAAATGTAAGTAACATATTTATTCACATAGTCCCCTAGTTCTTATATCATGTGATTTAGAAACTTCTGATTTATGTTAACAATGCAAAAATGTATCCAGAAATAGGAAATCATTTTGCAAAAGCACAAAGAATATTATTATAACAAGTAAGTGCTTCAAAATACATAATACAGGGTGAGCACAAAAACAGTCCCTGATTTCAAGGTGTCATAAAATTAACAGTTACCTGGATACGTTGATAAATGTAATATCCACAACTCAGTTAACTCAAATATTTTTCATTCCTTTTCTTTACAGAATCGCTATGCATAACTTGACGCTAGAGGGCAGTGACATCAAAAATGGCATCCCCCGCACTGAAGCTGGTGTGTGTTCAATTGCAAAAAACAAGCAGTGTTGTGAGAGTGCAGTGCGAGTTCAAACGAAACTTGATGTTGATCCACCTACAACAAATCATTTTGAGTGGCATAAAACTTAGTAGACAGGGGCATGTGATAAAAGAAAGGACATTTTGGCCGACCTTCGTCGGGGGAAAGGTTACCCCAACTCTGAAGATCTTCAGGAAAGCATCAGTGCTGCTGTAATCCACCACACTGGTATGCTCACAACAGTGGTTGGAACTGAATTATGCATTGATGTGCCCGCAACAGTGGCAACACTTAAGTTTGTGATCAATCATGCCACAAAAGTTTATGCATTAGTAACTAGTTAAAATTTGGCAAGATAGTCTTTTTGGTATTAAAGTTATCCCCTTTCGAAACCGGGGACTGTTTTTGTGCTCACCCTGTATAATAATATTAGTGTATCTTTTAAAGCACATTGTTTATCATTTAAGCCTTTTTTTTTAAGCAGTATAAAACACGTATTTTCCACTCCTGGTTTTCAAGTGATAGTAGGGAAAACGTGATTAAATACTGTACTTTAAAAAGCTTCACAAAGTGCATAAAGACTAAAGTACTGGTTATTGACTCGTGTATATTTTTTAATGACGCTAAGCTTTTTAAATCATACAAAGAAAAATTTCTGCCGAAAAGCTGCTATAGATGAATAATAATAATGATAAGCTTTATCGATATACATGCAACACTTTTCTTACAGAGACACTGAAGTGGAAAGAATGTTAAGAACCCAAATTTAAAGGTTTAAGAGCTTCTTTATCTACAACGTTTAGGTACATGAAATGGCTAATGAAAAATATGGCATGGAAAGAACTCTGGTTTATGCACTTCTGATACGTAACATATACTGAAGAGAGTGATGCAATAATGGCAGCTCTTGGCTTCAGTGACACAGAACAGTGAAAAACATTAAGACAAAACCAACTAAGGACTCAGTCAGCAAAAGATTATTATTTATGATGTAAACAATCGGAATTATAGAAGAATTGCAGGATACAAGAATGTGCATAGTATTATCTTCTCTTTCAGTTCAGGAACTGCTGTTGACACAAACAATTCACAATGTTTATATGAGGATTCAGGTCTGCGAAATAAGCCCTTTATTTTCTCTACTTTCTCTATTTATCCTGGCATCAACATCTCACATAGAACAGAACAATACAGGAATTGAAGAATCATTGCAAAAATAAATGTGCAACTAAATGTCATGAATACATTTATGCATTAAAACATATTAAATAGGTAATAAAATAAATTAAAAATATGTAAACATGATTATGGAAATATATACAGCTAATCATAAACAGTAATATATAATTAGGTTTTTCACAAAGTTTGCTTGTTAATTATAAATAAATAATCAACTTCGTTTTCTACTGAACAGCCATGAAAAAACATAAACTGCAATTCTAAAAAAAAATTAATGTCAGCAATTTTGATGTAATTTTACACATTTTCCAGATTTTAAACAAATAATTTTGGAGTGCATTAGAAAAACTTCAAAGCATAAAAATACATCTTGCCTCATGCATATCTTTATAATAAGGCTACATTATTTGCAAATTATATGAATGATACTATATTGCTTATATGCATAGTATTAAACTCTCTTGACTGTTTGCATATTATTTTGTTGAAGCTATTCAAAAGTATCACTGAAATAGTTATGCATACCACAAAATTAATTAATGCAAATGAAGTCCCAGCCCAAAATGTCATGTACTGGAAAACAAATTTTAGCAGAGACCGTTTTAGACAAGGAAAGAAAATACTGATTCACTGTCTCTTCTATAGCAGATAATAAAACATCCAAAATAACATTCTGAACTCAAATTATAAGCTTTTAAATAGCACTCTTTTTTTAAAAAAATCATATTTAATATCTATGCATATTTAAACCAAATTCACTTCCTTTATATGTAATTATTAAATGCATCAACATAGGCAATGTATGACAAAATCAAATAGTTAAAATATTCAATGCACTTATTTTATTAAATGTTTCAATTGACATCTAAGCTTCCAAGCTACTGATACAGTATCATTAATTTCCTTATAAATGATTTAATAAAGCTGAAATCAATACCAACTATGCATTAAAAATTACAATTTATTATTAACAATTTAGGGCACAAGAACTTTAAATTTCAAGGATCACTCTGTACAAATTAAAACACATGCAATGCACAAAATATGAATAAATTTAAAATCAATTATACATACAAAATTAAATTAAAAATATGACATTTTTGCATTAAAAATAATGCTGACTTTGGCAATACTGGTTTTTTAAATGATACATAAAGGAGGCTATTCTGTTATAGTTAATTTTAACAAGATCAAGGAATTCCTCAAAATTATATTTTTAATATCTGAATGCTGCATTTCCAGCAATTTCAGTTTTGACTCAAACATTTCTGAAAATTATTTAACAAAATTATTTTATCAGTTTCCGAGCAAAGATAAAAATAGTTAAGTTTTAATAACTCCTACAAAAATTATTCTTCAATTATTAGACAAACAAAAATGAAAATAATCGCTCATCATCATAATAAATGCAACTAACCCATAACTTAAACCCATATAAGACCACATTTGAAATATCAAGCTCTTCAAGCTTGTCATGATGTTCAGTATCTAAACTAATCATTCTAAATGATGTATCAAATCAACTAATATACCAAGATTTTCTTTTCCAAAGTAAACAATCAAATATTCTGCTTCATTACAGCAAGGTCCTACTTATTTAACACTTCAGGAAAACTGAAGCATGATTTCTCATTGGTGAAACATTTTCAGAATGAAACTTGACATTGTGGACATATATCTTTCCCAAACTTCCAATAAATGAGAATCACTACAATATAAGATATAAACCATATTAAATTTCAGTTCAAAATATAATCCACTTGCACACTGATAGCAGCAGCAAGTGGTTATAAAAATGCATAATAAAATAAAAATTACATTTAAAATCCCCCTATATACAATTTGAAATAAATCACGAAAAAAAAAAAAAAAAAAAAAAAAAAAACAGAAGCATAGTGCCAAACTGCACGAAATAGGGGGCCACATATATAAAAAAAATTACAAAAGTCCTAACTAAAGCTGTGACGTTACAGCTTTAAAACTAACTGGTGGCAGTGGTGGCATTAGCAGTTTTTAAATTTGCCATCAAATGAAATATTTTGTGCTTAATCTATAGATATCATACAGAATTTGGGCATCAGTTCCAGGTCTTGAAGTACAGTGTCAGTGTCTGAAGATCATCAGCATTTTAAGGTTGATAGACCATGCTGTGTCCATAAACACTTCCATGCAGAGAAGTGCAAAAATTTCATCTATTAAGAAGCAGACTGTCAGTGTCTGAAGATCAGCAGCACCTTAAAGTTTAGTCTGACTATCTGAATCTGCAAACATTTTAAAACAGAACTGTAATGTTTTGTTGAGACCATCAGTGTTCAAAGATCAATTTGTAACATTGGGTTATCTTGCATCCAAAAATTTGTGCAGTGTTATGTTGGGATAAATGCCATGCATTTGGAACATTGGCATCCATAAAAATCTTGTTGATTGTGCAGACTGATTAACAGCAACTTTATGATCCAAGCATCAACCATTAGTGTTGCAAGTCTACAAATCTATGTGGGTATGTACACTGTGAAAAAAAAAAAAGGCAACAGTTCTATACCCCTGGTCCACTGGGCCGATTGACGAAATTCAACTTGCGTTTCTCATGTATTGAAAGCGCAACTTAAGATATATATATTAGATTTATATATAGCATCATTCTAACATAGGTATTTTGACACAAAATCGGACCTTTTTCAGAAATGGCATGCTATTTTTTTTTTCCATATTTCGATGCTACGACTCAAATTATGCAAACTGTTAAGTTTTGTAAAAATAGCACAAGTAGTTTTAAAAAAAAATTAGCTCTCAAAATTTTAGCTCCTCAATGTAATGAATTGATATATATTTATTAATGTCTGTTTTTTTTTTTTACTTATCCTTCTTCAAGATTCAAAATAGGTTTAATCTAAATATATTCATACTTTTTTGATTATTTTTAAAATTTGTATTTTAAAATAATTTTTATAAATTTTCGAAAAACTTCTTGCGTTGTAACCTATAAAATTTTTAACATCGCCTTAAAGTAGATGTATTTCTAAGTACAATGGCAAAAAATTAGAGTTTTTTTGTTCAAAATTTTCTACGATATACAGGAATTTACATATTAGAGCATTTTGAAATTTGGCATCTTGTTTCTGAGCAATAATAATGCCAAATGTGGTTTACGCACTTTGGTAAAATCATTTGAAAGGAGAACGATGAGACTATTTTTCCCGCTCAAACACAATGTAAAAAGTTAGGAATGATGTGACTTTTTTTCTGGCTCCATCTCACAATGGAAAAAAAGTAAAGGAAAATAGGTTGCTAACAAATTAAGGAGTTTGCAAAGTAAATTATTGTTGGCAAAAACTGAAAAAAAATATGGCAAGATAAATGTTTTAATTTTCTCGTAAATTTCACACCAAATCTTAATATTTACACATAATTTGAGTCGCTGAATCGAAATATGGAAAAACATTAGCATGTCATTTTAGAAAAAGTCCGATTTTGTGTCAAAATACCTAGGTTAGAGATGCCATATATAAATTTAACATATATCCTAAGTTGCACTTTTGAGGCATGAAAAACACAATTTGAATTTCGTCAACTGGCCCAGTAGAACAAAAGATATAGAACTGTCCAATTTTATTTTTGCACAGTGTACCTTGAATTTTTATATTGAGACAGTGAATTAAATTGTTTTAAGTCATTTTTATAATTTAATTTGGATGAATTTCATGTTACTTTTTTAGTTAGCATTAATGCCTCACAGAGTTTTATGTTTCATGTGATAGAATCCACATTTCAGAAATTTGAGCTTGTATTTATAGATCTTTTAGTACCTACAGTGTTTATATCAGTTTCTGTAGTAGTTAAGTTCACACAGTTTGAATGTGTAAAAAGAGAGAACTACTATAATTTTGAATGTGCTGAAATTTAAGCTATTTTGACATGTCATTTCTTTACGTTGTCATTGAATGAATTAAACATTAGAATTTTCTGTTACAGTTTAAACGATTATTTTCATAAGAAACTATGAGAAATTGATAAATTGCAATTGGATGAGCTAAAAGAAAGGATAAAGATTTCTTTGAGAAGTTTGTGTTTAAACTGTTATATTGATATTTACTTATGTGCATTTTTTAAAAATTTACCATTGAATGCATACATTAATATAGACAGAAATTTAGATGGCCTGAATGTGAAGAGTTATTGTATTATCACAAATCTTCAAGTTTGACCAATTATAATTAAATGTATAATGTGCATATGATAGTGCTAACAGTCCTAAATTATATATTAAATTTGTTGTGAAGCTATTAGGGTTAAATTTTTCTCCTCATATTAGAAATTTGCTATTGTTTAAAAAATAGGAGTTATTAGAGTTTATTAAACATTGTGGGTGGTAAAAGCCAGAAAAGAGGATCTTGGCTGATCTTATTAACTCATATTTCAAGAGTAAAGCAATTGTAAACATTCTGAATTGACGTGCTTGTTCATTTAAATCATCTTGTCCCATTCATTGCGAAGGAATAATTTTTTATCAACATAGATGTATTATTGGGTCCTTTAGGGTTAGCTTCTGTTTCTAAGATATATTCTCAACGCTCATAAAACTGTTCATGTGCAATTGTTGGGGGCCAATAAATGCTGAATCTAAAAGTTCATGTAATCAAGGTTCAAGAAATATTATTTTAAATCCAAACCAAAAGCAAAGAGCATCCAGGTTTATCCAGTTCCATCATGCATTTTACTCATGTTGCCAGATCCCAAAACAGAAACATGCATCATGAAGCATTTACACATTCTATAGGTTACAGATTTTCAGATAAAATTTCTTAGAGTGACATTACACTGACAGGAAAGAGAGTCTAGTTGAAACAATTTTCTACTACCATGAGAAAACCATACATTAAGCTGTGGAAAAAGGCATTTTTTGAACATCCTCTTGTATTTGTATGAAGTTACATGCCTTTTAATTATATCCATATGCCCGGTAAACACAGAATTCCAAATCATTAAAGATAAAGAGTGCTTCAAGCAATGAAATTTCTTTGCTTCTCCCTGCCTTTTACAAACATACTGAAGCATGTCATTAAGTTTAAGAATTGAAATCTCATCAGAACAAACAAACCTATATGCAAAAAATACCAAGCATAATGAAAGAAATTTATTTAAATGGTATTTTTCAGTTAAGCAGCAATAGAGTAAGAGGCTTTAAAAGGTTAAAAAATAAGTAAAATGAGTTTTAAGTATGAAAAATAATTAAATTTTTGAATAGACGCCTTCCTCTAAACCTGAGAGGTCCATGTGGTATAAGAGTTCCTTTCTTTCTTTGAAGACTGTTAAACAGCATCTTGATAATTTCTTTCTGAATAAATCAACTGCCTTTTTTAAAACAAATTTTTCAGCTGCCAGAGAGATATGTAATAAAATTATAATAAAAAATTGCGTACTTTCAGATAACCCAATAATTTGGGTAAAATGTTCAACCAAATGATGGAAGGATGACTCTTAGATAAAACCAACCTCTTGTTGGCCACACTGCTTTGAAATTTCTCAAAAAATATAGCAAACTTATTTTCAACTTTCTTTCATATATATATATATACACTGAGGAGATTAACATTATGGGCACCTACTAAACACATTTTGCAACCTTTGGCCTGCAAAAGAGCTGCAACTCGCCTTGGCATGGATGACACAAATTTCTTGGTAGGTGACTGGAGACAGGTTATACCAAATGTGTAAGCAGTGGTCATACAAAGTCGAGATATTCCAACATGGTGGTGTTTGAGCTCTGAGATGCCACTCCAAGATATCCCAAATGTGCTCTATCAGATTAAGATCCGGCAAGTTAGGTGCCAGGACAATAATTGAAATTCGTCCTTATGCTCCTTGAACCACTCTAATGCAATTCAAGCCTTTTGATATGGGCGTTGTGCTGCTCGAACATTCCACTTCCAGTTGGGCAGACAGAGGCCATGTAAGGGTGCAAATGATCCCTAATTATGTTCAGATAGTCAACAGCTTTTCTAGTATGTTGTATTACAACTAAGGGTCCCAGAATTGCCCAAGAGAACATTCCCCAAAGCATAATATCACCATCACCACCAGACTATCTGTGTATGACCTGCTGTACAGGGGGGAGCAACTGTCCACCTGGAAGATGGTATACCCTGACACAGCCATCGATGTGATGAATGAGAAATCATGATTCTCATCTGACCAGGCGACTGTCTCTTCCACTTATCCATGGTGCATTTTCAATGTTCCCAGGCCCATTGTAGGTGTAGTTGACAATGACACTTAGTCACACGAGTGAGATACCTGCTGCACAGTCCCATATCCAACAGTATCTGCTGAACTCTGTCTGAAACGATTGCAATTGGACCTGAATTGCATTGGGCTGTCAGCTGAGCCATTGTCTAGAGCCAATTTTGCTGCATCCAGGTGGGACAGCCTCTGATGTCCTTTTTCTTTGATGACGCGTGGATGTCGAACCACTTGGCATATACTACTAGTTTCACTGTCATTTATACACTTTGCATAAATATTAACAACAGCAGATCATAAACAACCTATCAGTCGTGCAGTTTCAGAAATACTCATTCTGAGTCTTTATGCCAGTACAATCTGCTTTCAGTCAAATTTGCTTAGATCAACAGCCTTTCCAATCACTTGCAAAAGTAAGTGCAAGAATGATTACTTACCTTCTCTACCGGTTAAATACCATTCCCAATTAATCACTGCCCTCCATGTCATCCAAACAAGTTCATTAAAAAATGTGAGGATGGTCATAATGTTTTGGCTCATCAGTGTACATACATATAAAATGAAATGTACAACAGATGACATACCAGATAATTTTACAGTTAGATAATTTTTGCAATGAAGATGCAGCCATAGACAATCAGACGAATGCAGGCTAGAGAATTAAATTTAAAAGGCAAAAAATAAAATGTTCTAAGTAGGTTTACTGGAAAGTCAGTGCTTAAATTGCGCCGCAGCCCAATGGAGCTCGTCTCAGGTACTTCTCAATTTTTAAGATAAATTACAATTCTAGCCGGAGCGCACAGGAGCCCAAAATGAGATGAGCTCCGGTATTTTTTTTTTTTTTTTTATAAAACTGAACCACAATTTAAAGGAGAAAAATTTAGAATTTCTAACATTTTAGTTTAACAATAAGCAGACTCTGCAATACTCTATTTTTCTAGAAATACAAACTCATGAGAACATGAGACGTTCAAGTAAAGTCCCTCACTCACATGTGAAAACCTTTCCCTTTAAGAAGGGAAATAGGCAATAAATTTGAGGGAGTTTGTTTAGGAACGCATAAATTTCTTGCCATGCCATCATACCTAGTGTATTGTTATCAATGCTTACAGTTAGTTATCTTCGCAGGAAGGAAAATTTGTGTTCTAAAATGTGCATTAAGTGACAGCGAGTACAATAAGAGTGAAATACTGAGATAAACTGCTCAGGCACATTCTATACATCGTCTTCCCACAGTATCCACTAATCGGGGGGGGGGGAAGTGTAACCAGCAACTTTACATTCATCCTTAGGGGTCAAATTCAGGACTCATTTTACCCCTGACACACATCTGCTTGATGGCTATAATTATATCAGCAGAGAGCCACAGTCGAAGAGAACGTTCTCTCTCACTAAGATTCCCCTCATTTTCTTGTTTCCACCCACTCATACCCTCCTTCTATTTCGCTCTGGAATTTTCATCAGCTATACTTTAAGTATATTTAATTTTTGTGATGATAAAAGACCCCCCCGATCAATGCTTAAATTGGGCCGGAGCCCACCGGATATCGGCTCCGATGTTTCTTAGTTTTGTATAAATATAATTCTATTTAAAAAAAAAAAAAAAAAAAAAAAAAAAAAAAAAAAAAAAAAGAGCTTAATATTTATTTGTTTACTTTATTAAACATTTCTTTCAATGAGCACATGTATAAAGCATACATTATCGAAATTAGAAAATTGCAACCAGAAAACTATTTGATGTCTATTCGCGATATTTATAATGACGAGGAATTTGATTTAAATCATATCAAAGACAGAATACATCGAGATGAAATACTACATTTAGTAAGGAATTATAAGCAGAATAAAATAAAAACATCTGCCCTGAAGATAAGGATAGTGCTGACAGATCAACTTCCAGTTCATTGCGCACGCGCGTCGTCCCCCCCCCCACACACAGAGCAGCGTGAAATTGATAAACAGATTTCAGGAATGGTTAGAGAAACAAAGGATATGCCTTTATCCATTTTTTTTTTTTGCAGCAATTCCACTTTTTTGTTTGATGGACATCGAAACATGCTTTCGCTTTGTAGATCCTTTGGTAGCTCCAGAATCGGAAATTCTTTTTGACATAATCGAAAGTTCAAGCTAACTTTTATAAAATTGCTCTAACACTCTGCAAAAAATTATAAGCCTGATCCAATTTGAAGATTAAGGAACAACGCAATCTGCAACATTAACTGAAATAGACAATTAGATAATTTTAGCTTTGCTTATACCGTCCGTTATACATTGAATGTGCATGTGCACATGCATATGCACATGCGTAAATGCCTATGCGCATGCATGTACATGTTATGCCTTGACACATGCGCAGAAAGTTTGTAGCTTTGAGGTCTGGATTAATGACTTTTGACTGTATATAAGATGAATACAAGCCAATTTCAACCAGGAAAGCAAGAGAACACCTGAGTGCTTTGCTATAATCAATTTATCAACAACCTAATTAACAATTTTGGCTAATCATACCTTTCATGCATTTATCTAACAATCACTAATAGTTTTGAAAGAAATAATAGTAATGATTTATTTCATTTGAAATAAACATCCCATAATATGAGTGGAATCACGAATAATTTGTTAGAATGAAAAATTATAATACTTTAAAAACAAGAATTTGGAAGTTTGACTGGTATGTGTATAATTGCTTCTGAAGACTTAAAAGCTCTATTTAGCAAATAAATAACATTCACATTTAAAACTTCTCAAAGTTTTTAAGGAAATGCTTATGCAAGTAACTGAAAAGAAATACATGAATGTCTACAGAATAACAAGCGACAGAAAATGTATTTGAAAAACCAATTTTCAGAAATTCCTTCAGGATCTGAAAGAATTAAAATAAACTAAATGTTAACTGAAATTTGTGTATATGTTTTTTGTAAAAATAAAATACCTTCTGAATAACTGCATATGCGATGCTGAAGACGTGTATACCTCAAGAAATTTTTGAAGATCTTTTTCTGACCATCGACCTTGCCGCAGAGGTTCAATAAACTGAAAGTAACAAAATAATTTAGCTAATTTAAAACTTATGTTTTTAATCACTAAAGTGCTTACAATCCTATTTAATACAAAATAAATTCTCCACAGAAAGCTATAAAACAAATCTGAATCAGGCACATTGCTTTAAAAAATATCCTGAAATATTTTAGCAACTACATAAATTTTATATAAAAGTCAAGAAAGAAAAATGTGTACTAAAGTATCATTCTCTGTTTGTCTGCGCATATGTAACATTCCTAAAAATTCTTTAATAGTGTGCACATGCAGTAATCAATGAATCTGCAAACAAAACTGTGTCATTAGACAACCATACAAAAATCAAAGATCAAACAATGTTGCTTTCACATCTCAAGATGGTAATTTTACTCAAACTTTACATTAAAACCATGAAATGTAATTTTCGTTAGTGGAGATATGATTAATTAATAGCTTAATGTCAGGAGTCAAAAATGACAATGTTATTGGCTTTCAGTATTAAGTTATTAATTTATCAATTTATTAAATTTACCTTTTAGATTTTTAACATATAATTTTGAATTAAACTATCGTTTTGAGTTGGGAAACCAATATTGTTTGCTTCTGTTTGGTTTTCACCTTTCTTTTAAAAAAATTCAGTTTTAAAAAATATTCTCTAATTACATTATGTATGCATGTGTGTGTGTGTATATATACTATATATAATATATATATATATATATATATATGAGAGATAATAACTGAATAATCAGAAAGGGTGGCTAAATATCTGAGAGAAAACAAAACAAAACTGACATAAAACTCAATCAAGTAAAAAATGACTATGGGGTGGGGGGGGGAATATTCCTCAGTTCCTTCGGAGCAGCCAAAGAATTTCAAGCAAGTAATATTTTGAAATAATCTGATGATTATAAAAACAAATAATATATAATTCAAAAAAAAAAAAATTTAAGTAATTTAAAATAAAAATTCAGTAAACCAATAAACATTTTTGTATAAATATAGAATGTTATAAAATTTAAGTTATGCTTTTTTTCCACAAATTTTAATCATTTAATTAATTATCAAGATATAATGTGCTCTGGTGTGACCCTAAACAAATAGTAGCATATAAAAATCAAAACAATATAAAACAAGGATTCTTGAAATTAGAAACCAGAAAAACAATGTAGCAAATTAAAAGCAACTAGCAATATTAATACTTTTCCAATAAATATTGAACCCAAAAATGCTAAATAACAGCTGCAAATCAAAAGTAATTAAAAGTTTCCAAATTGAGAAAATGAGGAAAAACCATATAAACAAGTGGAAGGCTAAAAGCTTAAATTGGAAACCTTTCAAAAAGCTACAGGTCTAAAATTAGGAAAAAAGAATTAAAATCGAATGAAATAGAAAATAAAACCTGTATTAAAATCGTTTCTTAATTTCATGGTGAATGTTACATGAGACAGAAAAGAACATTGATGTGAGGCATTGAATCGAGTTCAGTAGTATAATAAAATGAAAAAATAAATTAAGAATCGAGGTGAGGTGAGGTGAGCTGTATAGAAGTTGCCCGAAAAAGTGAAGAACGACAATGGTGGAGGGTATAAATGCAGAGATTAAATTATCCACCTATTTATATATGTGTGCTCACTCATCCATACAGCACTTATACATGGCTTTCATTTTCACAATCATTGGTCAATTGCTACTGTAAAGGAATCAAATTTAATCTTTTTTAGAATGAGTATAAATATTTAGTAAATGTAACTACATGGATTAAGAAACCATACAAAAAATCAGATCTCATAATTTAAACAAATTTTTCTTTCTTCCTTTTTTTTGAATTTGAAAATAACATAATATGGATATCAGCCTCATTTAAAATGTATTTGTAACTTGAAGTACCTATCTACTACCAACAGTTGTCAAAATAAAAAACTACATAAGAACTTAAAGGAACACAATGTAGACTATTTAAATCTGCTGTACCACAGAAAACCACAAATGTCTGCAGAACCTTCTTAAAACTTCAGGACTCATTACTCTGGAGTAATAATGGGATATTATAGTAAATGTTTTTAACAATTAAACTACTTCAAGTATAATATCACAAGCTTTCATCTTGTGATAGGATAAAATATACAAAAATCTGAAGTAATAAAACTGCGTAGAAACCACATCATGAAAAGTAAAAATTGAATACTAATTAAAAAAGAAAAATATGCCAAAGCAATTTGTATATTTATCAATTTACTGTACTTCAGTCATTCAAAATGTTTTAAATAAATGCAAATACTTTAATTTTACCTTTTCAACGATATCCACAAACAAATCCCTTACTTCTTTGCTGTGATTTAAACCATATGCAATATTTACAAATGTTCGAGTAAATGACTGAAATAAATACAGAAATACATGAAAACAGATGAGAAATTTTAATACATTTTTTAAAACATATAAAAGGTTGATTATGATTTATTTTATTTGAACAACATTTTATATGAATAAACACACACAGGCACATGAAACAATTTTATGTTTTAAAAACGTGGTTGTTTTATGGAAAAACTGGTCAAAGTAATTATGGAAATTGATGATAGATTATATATGATGATTTTGACACAAAATAATTTCAACAGAAATATGCATTCAAGAAAATTCATAGAAATTCATCAGTAGACTGCAATTCAAAAAACAATTCTGCAATTGAAGCATATAATATCTGCTGGTAGAAACGCTATATAATCTATATATCTCTATAATCTGTGCTTTATAAAAAAGGTACAACAGTCACACTTTTTACTGTCTAAGGTCAATTTCTGAACACAAAAAGCATTCATTACTATTTCTCCAAACCTCATACATTCCCTCTAAATGTAAATCAATTGCAATCATGGCTTAAAGTGGGGGATATCAACTATGCTGTTATTTTTGGTATGTTGTTCAGTTTTACTAATGTTAAATGATAAATCTAAGCACAGAAAATACTTAAAAGACAAATTTACAAAGTAGAAAAATAAAAATCCTAACACCTTCAAAAGGGAAAAAAAATACCATAAAGAAGCTATATCTCATAAACCAAGTGCTTCTGAAACACTGTGACCCACTTGAAAATAACTGATGGCAGTACAGTTGGCGAAAAGTAAAATACATAAATAAAAACGCTAAACACTTGTGCTTCCTTTACAATATATCCTTTTTTTTACATAATGTTTAAATCAAAAGCATTTTTTATTATAAATTATTTATTTTATACTTTACATGCAGAGATAACAGGTAATATTAATAAAATTAAGTTAAGTGTAAATTAAAAACATGCAATAAAAAAACTAAATAAAGATGTCTTTCATTAAGAAGAAACATTGTTCAGCATAATTAAGTAAGCAAGTGGTTAGCCAGACCAGACAACTGCTGGTAAATCTGCAGCCCAATGTGTATTTCTCAAAGGAAAAAGAAAATTAGGAATTGTACAAATGAAAATTCGTGTTTTAAATCTCTGTGTAACATGGGTTTTTGGGTCTGTCATGAAGCAATTAAACACCCTTTATTAGGTAATTTTGTATATTTACTTATTTAAGTCTCCATTTTCATAACCTTAACATTTATTGAGATGACATTTATATTATTAAAGAATGTAAGAAAACAAAATATCTTCTATGCCAAGTGGCAAAAAATTTCATGACCGGAATAGGCAATCAGAGAGTTAATGTAAATAAACATCATTTAAAAGAAAACCACCTAGCACTATAAAAATATATTATTTATCCATATCTTTGGGAGAAGAAATAATAAAGACAAACTCTCTCTGTAACAACCTTGAGTGCAAGATTGCTTTAAACTTGCCAGGCATTGAATTAATGAGAAGTTTGATGAAGTTTCAATGGATTCTCCTGCTATCCAAGAATATTTTGCAACTGAAAATACATGAATGCAGGTTATGGTCTAGTAAAAATGTATTTGCCTAATGTGCAAGCATGTTCTACTGGATTCAAATCTTGGGAATATGGCAGCTGTTCCATTATACTCTATTGTTTCTCATTCAAGCATTTGATTTATAAAGCAAACTGGATGAGATCAGATGCCATTGTGCATAAAAAGAGCTAAATCGCCAATGGCAGAAACATAAGGCTTAACTAATGGTCTAAAACTATTCTTGTATTGCTGAGAAGGCAGGGAGCCATTCTAGATGACTTAGAAATATCCTGGGGGACAACAGTACACTCAACTAAACTTATCCCTGACCAAACAAAGCGTCTCCAGAAAGTGTGATTATTCTTTGACATGCACTGAACTATACTGATAATCACTTTCCCTCTAAAATGAGAAATCATTGATTATTCAGCTCTGGACTCATTAGAAAAGAGGACTTGGTTCCACTTGGCAGGTCCTTAAATGGAGTATCCTTCAGCTCAATTTCTTTGAGCTCTAATATGCCAGGAAGTTACTCAGCTATAAACAATTAGCCTATGTGCAAAAGCAATTCTCATGATGAAGGTAACAGAAAATTATGCACTTCTGGTTCCCATTAAAAGTTTTTTTTTTTAACTGGGTTGCATTCTGACAATGTTCTAAAGAGCTGTTGTTGATAAATAGTGGTCATTATCTGAGGTGGCTCACTGTGTCCCCATAGTGGTAAGGTAGAATGCTGCAGAGCCTATATTTGAATTCCACAAAACATATGGAAGTTTTAGTATAGAATGCCTTTGTGATACAGAGGCACTTAAAACACTGTTAAGGTAATAGCCCTCTCAAGAGGTTAGTTGTAGGGAAAGAGGATTGGCAGACCTTGGATCTGTCCCCCAGAGTATTCTTCAAAATTGGGATGGAGCTTCCTCTTTTTAATTGCTGTAAAACCTGCTAAACAATGTGTACCCCCTGAGCAACATTGTCAATGATGAGATGACTAAATGGCCGATAAACTTGGACCATAATTTTCAATGAATTAAGTGTCCAGCCATTGGGGGAGGATAATCTGAGCTGCATACTTCAAGGATGTTTTCAAACACTTTCTTTTTATTGGAACAAAATTCATAAATGTGCAATCATATTCTGGCTGACTCCAAAGGCTGTTAGGAATGGTCTGTTAACTTTGATTGGCTTCTAACTGTCCTGTGGCTTATCACATGATACATTCTGACATACTGTGCTGATATGGCATGCTGACAGGAAACATGCAAAAAACTGCTTCTCTTATCAGAAGCAATACAATACAGTTCCGAAAAAAGCACCAATTTCATGCAATTTTCAACTCAGCATAAGTGTAGCATCACTGTTGGTAATATGCATTTTCAACTGCTTTTTTGCTATCTTCTCATAATCTGGAAGGATTTTTTGACAGTTCAATAATATTAACTCAACTGCTTTGAGAAACGTATGAACAATTTTTTTTTTAAATTTTAATGACCAGTTTAATATGCATGTATGTTAAATTAATGTTGGCTGAAGACACTGTAAAAAATAGAAGGTGTGAGTATTTTTGCTGCTAACTTACCATGTATCATGAAAAGTCAGTTACACTAATGGTATCAAGATTTATTAAACAACCACTCATCATGAAAACAATTCTGCAATTTCCCCAAACTAAATTATGCATCATTTCAGTTTAATTGCTAAGAACACACGTAAAATAAGCTTCAACTGCAATCCAAGTGGAATGGTATGCAAGACAAATGCAGACGAAAAGCTGCTGATCTAAAATCAGTCAATATCTGAAACCTGTGTAGCCAGTCAGGTGGCTTTGGTGCTTTGTGGTGACATCCAGGTAACACTGGCAACATGTTTCCTCATTCAGTATTGAGGTAAATTATATTATATTGATTATCTCCATCAGAACTATTACCAAACATTTTGCAATAGTCACTAAACCTGTACCATTATTGCAGAAATTGGGAATTTGGCCCTCATCCATTAAGCATACTAATAAGAGCAATCTTAGATTGCACAAAAGAATGGGAGTCCTCATGTTTTAATCTTTCTATGGACAAAGGAAGCAAGATGTATTTTATAATTTGGCAAATGTTAAATGTTGAAGAATTTGTTCTTAAATTCTTTCAGAGAAAAGGAATTATCCACAGTGAAAGACTATTCAAATAACACTAAAATGAAGTTATGTTTTAAAGTTTACACAATAAAAAATAGCACACCAGTCAAAAATCAAGCCAAAAGAAGAACAGAGAAACTGAAACGAAATTGGAAACCAAATTGGTTTCACTTCACGAAACTAATATTTTTCAAAAATATTCCTACAAAATCATATTTTTGAGCGAATATATCATCAGGGTTGGCATTATTATTTCAGGCTCTATTTCGAGCCAACATTTATGTTCCAGTAACACCTGCTGCTCCATTAATTGAAGAGTAGTACAAATTTTAATATCTATTATGACTAAAAGAAAAAATAGTATTTTTTCTTGACTGAATAGCCCATTGTGAATAAACTTACAATTTACTTGCAAGTTACAGAGAATAAAATGAATTTAGAACAACAAATTTACAGAACTGATCATGGTTGATGCTTATGTATGATTTGGGAACCAAACTAGGAATTTAAAACAGATGTTTTAAAGATGCAAAAAAATAAGTTTTTTCTGATCTCTCACATAAAATAAAAAATAAAGAGTCATATACTTTTATATAAAAATAACAACGGATTATTTTATAAATTCGTTTTTATATTTTATGGCCTTTTTTAGACTAAATATAGTGTTTTTCAATTATGACCAGAAATTTGCAAAGCTCTAAAATTTGCACAAATTCTGGTCAGAGTTATGTAGATTTTTATCTCCTACTGTTTTCTATGTTAGAACATTTGAATTGCCTCACAAAAGATATTTCTCATGACAAATGCGAATACTGTTATTTGAATTGCCTCACAAAAGATATTTCTCATGACAAATGCGAATACTGTTATTTGAATTTATTAACTGTTATTCAGCACGGCCTTTTGTTGTATGCATAATTTCTTCTCCATTCTAAAAACTGCTATTTATAACAAAGGTTAGCAGTATAAATTTAAAAGCTGCAAGGCAACAAATCTGTAACAAACATTTACCTTGAAATTTGCGTCTAGATCTGAATACGTACGATCTGGCAGTTTTGATCTCAATGAGCTTAGCACATAAGCTTTTAATTCATCAAATGTATCTTTTTCTAAAATTTGCTTTAGTTCTCTCAAGTCCTGAAGAAATTCACGATCAATTTCCATGGCAGTTTCTTCATAGCTGCAATCTAAAATTAGCAAAAAATCTGATTAGTGAAAAAGCAAATGAATAAAATTGCCAAGTGATTAAAAAAACTTTACAGATTACAAGAAAAATCTTTTATTATTACTACAATTCTCAATCTAAATACAATGATAATTTTGCAAAGACTTCTTTGTAACATCATTGTAATGGTGACAGAATACTGCAAATGACAATTTTGTGCTCAGGGCATAACAGGGAGAGAAAAACTGAAGAAAAAGCTTGGGTGATGTGACAGAAAAGTTTGATTAATTGTTTCATACAGTTGCATCAGCCATTAGCAATTCTGAGCATGAATCTTAAGTTTGTTTTAGAGAAAAATGGAACATAGTGATGTTTAATCAGCAGATTATATGTACATATACAACAGCTTCAAATTACATGCAACAAATGTTTTTCCTAATAATATGAAATATTTCTAGAAATAGGAAGCGTTGGAAAGGGTTACATAATTTTCACCTCTGAATTAACATCCATTTACTCTTGGGTACAAAAAGGTGAAGTTGTAGATTATGTTAATATTACATAGTACGTGATTCATTTTTATATTTTAGAATAATTAAATTCAATTCTTAAAGGGTAATAAAAGTAACCTACCTTAAAAAAAAAAGCCTTAAAATAAAAGTAAAAAGATTTTGGAATAATTAATGACTATCTTTTTAGTCAGTGGTGAATTATGCATTAATTAGCTAAAGAGGCAGATTTGCCTGGTTGAACATATTGGTCTAAAATTCATCAGCATCAGGACTAAAAATCTAATTCTGCAAATTGTGGAGCCTTCAGTTTAAAAATGGTCAAGAATGAAAGTAATTTTAGTACAATGTTACAGTAAATGTATGATGTAAAAGAGTAGGTTATAAATATGAAAAATAATGTTGAAGGAACTACTAATAAGGAACAGGAATTTGCATAACATGAGTATGTTTGCAGAATGATAATTTCAATGGCTAAATAGAACCTTTTTCTTGATCAATGAAGTGTAGGGAAAAAGAAGTGAAAATGATGGAAAATGAAACATATGCCCATGCCAAAACAACAAACAAAATAGTGCTAAATGATAATTAAACGGCAGAAATGAACACTGACATTATCAAGTGATCTAAATGCAACTAAAAAAAAGTTTCTTGAAAAGTCAGTGGTAAAGAAAGATTAGAAGTGGAATCACTAACCAAAACCAAAGCAAAAGATTTTTTCTTAACGTAAAACAGCCCAAGGAAATCTATGAAAAGCATGCTTTTGAATAATTTTGACTACAGAGATATAGAAAATGTGCTTTTTTGACCAGGAGTAGACAAAGGAGGATTTAGGAATTTCTATTTTCTGAATGCAAATTTCACACTCTTAAGAGCAAAATTTCAAGGTTTTCCTTGTTTGACTAATGTGTATTAAACTGTGCTGGCAATGAATACAAGGCTGTTCACGCATTTTTTAGACAATTTTTATTATATTTACAAAACTATATTACCTAAACGTTTTGTGTTTTAAAAGTTCCATTTGATAACTCTTATTCTTTACTATTTTTTTTCATCATAATTTCGAAGATATAATGCCTTTTGAAGTATCGGAACAGATATTTTACACCATTCCTCTTGAACAGCTTTCCAAAGTCGACATCGGGACAATCAGCTTTTTCAAAGTCCAAAACTGCAAAAATCCATGAGTGATACATCAGGAGATTTAGTACGGATATGAATTTTTTCCAGGAAATTCACGGTTGATTTCGACGTGTGGCTGCTTGCTTTGCCTTGAAGCAATTCTGATTGATGGCAATGTGTAAATAGAAGGTATTTCATATTTGAAAAGTGGATATAAAATATGATATAATATATGTGGAGTTGATCTTAACATTTTTCTCCAGTCGCTTTATTTTTAATTTGCCATTCTATGAAAAACCAGCAACAATCCTAAATTCCTTTGAAAAACGTTTTTAGATCCTTTGAACCCTGTTTTAAGAATTTTCCTCCTCTTTGATGATAATAAATGGATTTTTTTTTTATTTCAGTCATTTATATATACCCAGGATTCATCTACTTGTGACAACAGTTTTCTGCTTTTATCCAGTTAATCACGTTGCCACATGGAGAAAACCAACTATGCAGCCAGCCGTGTTTGCCTGGGTTCGACAACAGGCCAGGTCAAACTACCAATAATACACAATATAGTGACTTAACTAGAGAGAGTTGTCATGTTTTTGAAAAGAATAAATAAAACCTTACCAACAGGTGAACAGGAAACTTAATGGACTCATAATAAAAGTATATGTAATATGATGTACAGCAATATTTAACGTAAAAAAAGTAGAAATAAAAACAACTTTTTTAAGACGTCCAACTTTTGTTTATTGGTTATTATTTAAAATGACATTTTTATTCCTTGAGAGAATAGACTCACATTTTTATTTTCCTGACTTTAAAAGGGGGGGAGTTCTGATTTACATTGACTTTTTAAGAAAAAACCTTTTACTTTTTTGTGACTATTTTTTATTTTCAAGGCTTTACATGAATTTTCAGGAAAACTTGATTTAGTATGCATTATATATTTTTAATTCTGTAAAACATAAATTCTTTACATATATATAGAGAAAACACTTCGTAAAACATACACAGAAATCCTATAATACTCAAAACAAATTCTTTCCTAGATTGGCTAGATTAATATTTTTTAGGGAGAGAAATTTCATACTCTACTAATCAGCAGTGAAGTCATAGGTTCTGTGACATTAATCAGACTATCTACCACATTCTGCTTTGTGAGCTCGTATGTAAGATAAATATGTAATCCACGTGTAGAAACACTGTTAAATTTATGATATTCTCTGATAAAAATAAAAGATTTTGCAAAACCTAGACAGATTTTTTTTTTAAAATTAATTAAACTGAATGTTTAAAAATTTAATAGTAGTTCAGATAGCATATTTTCTATTTTAAGAAGTTATATTGCAGTATCACAGTACTCAGAATTAAAAAAATTTAATTCAATTTTTCATAATTATATTCCGAACATAAAAATGTTAATTTTCATCCACATCTTGAATATCTTAATCTTTTCTACTTAAAAGCCTTTTCTTTTTGAAGACAGAATATGTTAGGTAAAATTTTAGTCTCTTTTAAATTTGGTGACTTCCCAGTTTTACAATTTAGCCTTAAAAAAATGTGGTACTTTCAAAACTAAAAGATTAATTCTAATCACAGCTGGGGTGAGAAACCTTAAAGGCACTGATTTAGCCCCTGGATAAAAAAGTATAATCACCTGCTACAAAGAGAAGGTTTCTGAGAGGGTAAGAAAATTCTGACAGATTAGATTTCTAAGCAGTTTTTCTTAGGGTCTTCAGAAATTCTCTCATAGCAACAAGACTATTTAATTTTATAATTAGAAGACAATTTAAATCCATTTGTGAATATGAATAATCTTTGTACCATGCACAACTGTCATAAATTTTAATCCTATTAATATTAAATTTTTGTTAACTAGAAATAAATAGATATGTAACTATTTTTTGAGAAAATTAATTGTTGAGTGTATGGAAAAATTTCATTACTATCATCCTCAGTATAGGAATCAATATCTCTATTTTACAAGAATCAATATGTAAAAGGTATGACAGACATGAGACTTAAAGAATTCTCTAATACAGTACAAATCTGGACTCGTGAGTTCGGCGATTCCGGATTAGGGTTTTTTCCGGATTATAGATCATCAATTTAAATCTGGTAAGATGGCATGCAGAAATTATACAATTAAAAATAAGAAACCATAATTTATGAAATAAAGAGCAATTATGATCTAAAGGGTATCAAAATTAAAAAAAAAACTTAATATTTATTTGTTTACTTTATTAAACATTTCTTTCAATGTAAGTTGTTTAAGTTGCTTCATTTTTTGCGCTAATACTTTCTCTTTACTTCTATAAACAGATATAATTTCTTGTTCAGTTACAAAGTTTTACTGTTCAAGTCCTGCAATTGCTGTGTCAAGAATACCGACTAGCTTGTCAATCGAAATTTTTTTGTTTTCAATAAACTTTCTGTCACTTTCTTCACTATCGGAAGCGGTATTTTCTGGATCTCGAACCATGCTACAGATTTCGCCGTTTGTTAATTGATTGATAATTGGGGCATTGTCATCGCAATGAGAAACTTCTGTTATATCATCTTCATTTATTATGGCTTCTCCACATTTCTTTATAAAATCCAATAACTGGAAAATTTCACCTTTAGTTTGCGATGTCCGAAAACCTTCAAATTCGCGGCTTACATGAAAAAAAAAAAAAAAAAAAAGAGTTTGTGGCTTTGAGGTCCATAGATCATTCGGGATAATGGACGTCCAGATTATGGACTTTGTACTGTAATATTTTTAATATTGGCTAAAACTGTAGAAGACTAAGATGACAAGCATGCCAATGCAAAATTTAGAAAAATGCAATCAAATGAAAAATTCTTTTTCGTCTTGGATTTAATATGCTGCTGACATTTTTACAGTGTTTGACAGTAATGAAGGATTAACAAATCTTATTTCTGTTATGAATTTGATTGATCCATCCATTTGGTTCACTTGAAACCGAATCAAGCAGTTCTCTTCTTTTCCTTGCCATTTTAGTTATCTGCAGTTGATATGATTTCAGCAGTACTATTTATTGTAAGCTTTTCCCTGCTTGCTTGTATCCTCATGTATTATGTCATCCTACCCCTTAAAAATTCGCTTCCTTTTACACTCACATACATCATGCTTTCAAAATCTGTTCTTTTTCATGCAAACTCAATTACTTAAAATTAGTTGCCACTGGTAGAGGGTTTTTCTCTCACACTTAAAATGATAAAGCTCCTAAAAACTGTCCCCTTATCATCATAAAAGAAATTATGCTACTAGAAAGAATTAAAACAACATTGTTATCCCGCTTTATCCTTCTATTAGTTATAAAATTACTTGGATTTTGTTAAAGTTCAATTTTCTAGTCATTTACTCACATACCAGTAAAATTTACTATTT